GTGACGGGAAAGTTCAGTCGACAGAGTACGGAACTCGCAGTCGTAAGTCTGTGGGTTCGAATCTTGGCCCGGGATGATTGTATTTCTTCCTGTCAGTCGGCTTTGTGCATAAATCATTAGTACAATCACGTGGAAGAAATCAAATGGGCATAAAAAAGCACGTTGTAGTGAGGCTTTGCTGTTGGGAATATTGCGTCATTTTGCTGAAGCCCTCGTATGTGACATTAGTGCAGCATAGTACTCATCATAAAAATGTAATAAAGGCAGATATCCTAATGTTATATGCTTTTTCTTTAAGGAGGTGCTAACTATAATATGTGGAATGTTACTTGTGCCACCAGCTACATATTATTATTGTCAGTGGCAACAGTCAGTCAGGCTTCCTTTCATTTCGTTTGTATGGCGAATGGCTTCGCTGTCAATGTGATCCTGCTTCGTGATTTGACTTATCTACATATTGTTCGGCATTTCAACTGTTGTGGATGTAGCGCATCGTTAGTCAGGTTGGAGTCCTTCTTTTCTAGAGTTAGCTGCTCGTGACCAAAATGCAGCCTCATAGGCGGACAATATGAGGATGCGCAGCGGTTTAGGATAGTACTTACCGCCATGTTGTTATAAATTCGTTTTTGAGTCAGGATAACGTGGCGACAGCTCCCGCCTTCAAGGACTTTATGTTATTTACAAATTACTAAATACTTTAATATAGAAAAATAGTTTCGAACGTATGTCATCAGAATCAGAAACAAAACACGAACAATATAATATAAAAAATGTGCAGAGACCTGTTACTCTGCACATAAAAGTCAGTGGTCAAGTTAGCGCATGTACTGTTTTATGCCAGTAGCTTTTCCCGCAAGAGCGTAGCAGGTGCTAACGTACTTCTCGAGGCTTCCTCTAAACTTTCGCCGCAAACCTTCTTCGTTCATGTACCGAACTTTGCCAAAAATTGCCCTCTCGCCATGTGGCCTGTCGTGCTTACCAAAGATCCATGCAACGCCAGCGAAACCGTTCGGGTCTCTGCCATCCAACTCGTACTTGTCGTTCATGCTGTAAAGTGTTTCCTGGCCGTGCATTAAATCAATTATAACGAAAAACTGATTTGGAATACTTCAATATCCAGTTATAAGCGGCATCGACCGTCGATGACCATTCGAGTACCTTCTTTCCCCAGTACATACGCATGTACCCGTGCATTTTTCCGGTGTGTACCATCTCCAACTGACAGGCGTTCCAGTAAATATCATGGGTCTGCGCTAAAAAAAATTTGACTTTACTCAAACTCTTGTAAAGTGTTTTAGCAGAGACTACGGAAAAACTAGAGGCGAATACAATTTTGTCCGAAGTACTTCTTCCGCTTGTGGCATTGAAAATTGAAGTTTCAGGAGAAGCAAATTTTTATTAGTTTTTTGCAATCTGCATAAAACTGCAGTGAAGATTCGGAAAGGACATATTCACGAACAAAGTGGAAACAAGTTATTGAAGATCTTACGACAACACTAATGATCAGAATGTGAAAAAGGAAAAAACTACTAAACAAAAAAGGAATATGAGAACGCTGTGCATAACCACAGAATGCGAAGAAGAAGAATATGGTGCTCCTTTAACCGTGAGGTCCGTACTCATCAGCGGTCGTATTGACAACATGCTACACAGAGGTTTACTGAAACAGCATGAACTGAAATGCACGCTTTGTTGTCTGGTCATGAGAATTAATTAAGAGTCGTGTCAATCCATAGTATGAGACACTAGTGACCCTGAACTCGAAAAGATTGAATACCTACAGCTGAACCGAGCGCAGGAACGAGAAATGTGAAGAACAATTTCAAACATGCGAGTAATTACTTATTTTCTTTATGGACCAAAAATATGACTAAAGGCGATAGAAAGTTTGCTAACGTTGTTTAAAAACTGTTTAACGATAAAGCCATTTCTGTAAGTTGCGAGCAATTCAAATGAAAAGCACTTTACAACAAAGTCCTTCAAAAGACCAAAGGTCAATGTAGAGGAACAAAGTATACGCAGGTCTGCGTTTGAACAAGAGCGCTCCTTCAGCGACGCTGTTCCATCGCAATGTAGTAACATGGCGAAGAAAAACTAATAAGGAAGTCATGAATATTCTAATATGCAGACGGATTGGTGTGGTAATAGCTCAAATCTATACAACTGCCTCGTAGAAACAAGAAAATACTTAATACAAGCAGCTGGTCGGGAAAATGAACATCCAAGTTTAATTCAATTACTTTCTTTTTCCTTGTGCTCATATAACAATTGTATATTTTCGAGTTAGAGTTTCGTAATGATGCTAAAGATTGCTCT